CAGATTTAAACATAAAATTTTTCGACCATATTTCTACCATGATTAAAAATGCAAAGGGTGGGATTCGTTTTACTGAAAGATGTTCTAAAGAACACAATCTTTACACTTTACTTTCGAATCTATCCCCGCGATTCGAGCCGTCATGCGGCCAGAGTCCCTCGGCCCCTGTCCCCTGTCTTCTTTTAAACATGAGTGTGGTTTCCTCTCACTATTTAAAAAATGTAAAAATAATTTACAGAAAATTTTTAAAATTGAAAAAAAAGCAAGGTGTTTTGGTATATATACCAATATACAAGGTATATTATATTCAAGGTATACCCTTGAATACCTTCGCAGTAAGGCAAGGCCACCTCTGGGTTAATATCGCATATTCATCTGTCATGTTTTTCGTTTGAACGATGTAAATAAATATGTCGTAACACGTAATCCCATTATTGTAATTGGATTAATAACCTGTAATTGATCGGAGATCCTGAACGAACAAAATCGGTCGATTAGGCTATTTATGGGTAAGGTATATAGACGTGACTATAGTATACACGGGCTATATTGTAAGTCCGTGGTAATCAGCAGACTATACCTTTATAACATATAAATTTATTTTCTGTCTTGAGTTATATCTTATTTATTTATTTTTCATGTCTTTTCATGTTTTATTTTAAGAGTAACGGGTGTATCGGGTACCTCCTTGTCGGATCAGCCGACTGAAACGATTTTACTTATGAATGAATAAAATAAAGTACACCTACAAAAATGTATTTAAATTATATTAAATTATTTCTCACGTATTTGACTATACTTTCTTCTTTTTAATGCTGACACTTGACCTTATTACTTTTGGACTTTTTATTGACATACGCTTTGAAACAAATATAGTCCAAACTTAAGTGTCATTTCAACTGTAAACAACAATAGCAGCAACGTTGGCATCAACAGCAATGCATCAGCTAATACCGTTGGTGTTAGCATGTTAGCGCCGATTGTAAGTGGAATAGGGGGTACCGTAATGTTACCCAACTCCTCATCTTCGTCCTCTTCATCATCATCCACCTCGTCTTCCCATACACATGCACAATTGATGGCTAGCAGTAATGGAAACGGAGTTGCATCTTTGAATGGCATATCATTGACCGCTGGAGGCGGAGGTGGTGCAGCGAGCGCATGTTCTCAACAGTTGTCGCCACAAGCACCACCGACATATGTAAACTTGTAAATGCTCTTTAAAATAAAGTATCTGATGATTAAGGATAAAAATAAAGTAATGAAAAGATGAGCAAAATAAAAAACTTCAAGGTGCCTCAACTGCGAACTAGTAAATACTAGATTAAATCTACTATTTTAATGCATATCAGGGTTTGTCTATTATTACCTAGCAATAATCTTTGGCGTACATTAGATACATACATAATAATAATGTATGTGCATGAAAAGAAGTTATAAATACCCATATCTAAAACTTTTTAAAAAATGACATATATTTTTTTTTAGTTTTATAACAGTATTGTACAAGAATGAGCCATGATTTAAAAAAAATATCAAATAACGGGGGTACACTGGTCTAGAAAAATAAAACCGATTACAAGCGAGCTTCCTACCTTTTATTAAATAAATTTTCACTCATAATTTTTTTTTAGGTTGAAGATAGTGGGTTATGTTTGTTTTCCATATTTTTAGTCTTTCATAATATTTTTTTAAATATACATTTAAGAAACTTTCAAAATTAAATAATTAAAACTTGAACTCACATAATAATAATACACGGCACCGGAAATAACCAGCTACCAAACATGTTTAAATCAAACCAAAGGGTTTCAATATAAGCATGTCCATATGACTGCCTTTCTTTATGTCTTTCTGTCTGTTTCTACGCTTGTCTCTCAGTTTTAAAGCTTCCGACTTTATTTGGTCTTTAACTTGGTCAACTGATCCGATGTACAACATTTTATTAAGATAGGGCGATGTCGTCATATAGCGGCCATATAGCTGAACGATCGGAAGTGTCAACCCTTTTGTTTCTTGAACATAAAAACTTTTAAATTTTTGTGCTTTTTCAAAATTTTGTTAATAGGGTATGGGTTTTAAAATGAAAATTCTTTTGGCATTCCATATAGCTTTCCTTTTTATACCCTTGCAGAGGGTATTATAATTTTGTCCAAAAGTGTGCAACGCAGTGAAGTTAATATGAGCATGTCCGTCTGTCCATCTGTCCGTCTGTCCGTCTGTCTGTCTGTCCGTTTCTACGCGAACTAGTCTCTCAGTTTTAAAGCTATCGTCTTGAAACTTTGCACACACCCTTCTTTCTTTTGCACGCAGTATATAAGTCGGAACGGCCCGGATCGGCCGACTATATCCTATAGCTGCCATATAACTGATTGATCGGAAATAGTATAACTTTGACGTTTTTAAAGTTAGAGAGTTCAAATTTGACATGAGAGCATTTTTTGGCAAAACATTACGACATGCCAAATTTCATAAGGATCGGCCGACTATATCCTATAGCTGCCATATAACTGAACGATCGGAAATGACCCAACTTTCGTGTTTTTGAAGATAGAAAGGTGGAATTTAGTACAGATTCTATTTTTGGTCAGTTGATCCAACCTAGTAAATTTCATAAGGATCGGCTGACTATATCCTATAGCTGCCATATAACTGAACGATCGGAAATTACCCAACTTTTGTGTTTTTGAAGATAGAAGTTTGGGATATTTTTAGGTTTGGTTTTTGTATTATATTAAATTGGGTTATATTATCATATTTTCATAAGGATCGGCCAACTATATCCGATGTTTGCGATATATATCCGGTTTTAACTGCAAGGGTATATAAACTTCGGCTCCGCCCGAAGTTAGCTTTCCTTTCTTGTTTTTAACTTTTTTTTATCTTATATTTCTCAAAATTCATGACTGATGTTTAGGGAATCTTTACCCTCAAACGTAAACATTATATTTTTTTGTAAAAAAAAAGGTTTTAAGAATGTTTTTTATGGGTCATGGGTTAGACATTATCTCAAAATTTTCAATTTCTTACTTTCCTATATATTTTAAATTAAATAGTTCACAAATTTTACCCTTTGACCAGAATACCCCCTAGAATGGAAAGGACAACATAAAATTCAGTAAATAATTATTTTTAAACATAATTTAAAAGCACAGGCATACAAAATCTATGTTTTACTCCTCGCGGAATTTTAACTAATCAGATCCTTAAGGGTCTCATGAATCAAATATTAGTACATGGATTAGAGAAACAAACAATACAATGTTACCATAGGTTGGTTATTTGTTAAATATATCTATTCTTGGTTTGATAAAATATCTTGAAAAAATATTTTGTATAAAATTTGTATATAATCAGGTTTTAAATGTTATGTAAAATTTACTTAAAATTTTTAACATTTTAATATATGTTGTTTTTATTAAGTAATGCCGCGCTAACACTGGCGGTCGAAAGCGAAACTAATAGATGACCTTATAAGTGCGCATGTCAGTTTGCAAACACGAAAAAGAAAAAACAACAAATAAACTCAAAGAAAAACACACGACTTTAATAAGAGCGGATACACAAAACCATTATCTTAGCTGATTTTATCGATCATTTAATGCTTCAAGATTTATTTTTTTATTTTGATAGAGATTGTAAAACATTATTACCAGAAAGTACCCGAATCTTATACATACAAACTATAACAGTAATATTTTAAAAGATAATTTTTGAAACCAAGCTGCAAATTACGCGTCCAAATTTTCAGCCCGCTGAACAGCTCAGCTGTAACCTCATTTTTCAGCTCCTAAAGTGCGGTGAAGAAGAAGGTTAAATATTCTTGATTTTGTATGCCTTGTTTATTGATAGTTAATTTCTGGTCGTTTTTCTATTCACGATTTCTTGTCCATAAAAGAAAATTTTCCGTACTATAGAAAAGAAAAATCATAACTGGTTTGCAACGATAGTTTTTTACCCATAAATATATTTACCAGCCATTGATCAAATTATGGGAACACAAATTTTTTAAAATATATCAAGTATCTTAAATTTAATGCTAAAGAATCCTGATGTACATTATTATTGATGTGTGTATGAATGTATGTAATGTTTTAAAATTTATAGTCAATGTTGATAATGAATTGAAGCTTTGCTATGTTTTGTTTATGTGTTATATTGATGTTTTTGTTATTATGCATTTGAATTTGCATTGGGGGCTAAAAAAAACTATTTGGTTTTCGTTTTTTTAAGGGACTGCACAAAAGTTGTTGTATTTATTAAATATTAAATTTGGAATACAAACTTTTTTAAAAAGACAATCTTAAAAAAACTTTTAATTCTTTTATTGTCTCGTAGATTATGCATTTTATGACTGTTAAAGAAAATTTGTATTGTAATTTGATTTAAAAAAAATATTTTTATTCAAAATGAATAAATATTTAAATAATTACGGTCTATTCATCTTAATTAATATCTTCATTATTTTAATTAGAAATCTACATTAGATTAATATCTACATTAGAAATGTAGATTCTTACAAAATTTTATTTAAAAAAAATTGTTAAATTGATTGGAATTTAAAAATTTTAACATAACATTTGCGAAAACTTTTTTTTGTGATGTTCTGATATTGAAGTCCTTTTGATAATATTTGAAGGCACTGGCCAATCCAGAACCGTATGGGCTCTTGAAGTAATTTTAAATCTTCAAATGAGACCCTTTAATTGAGACAGTTTCACAGATATTTATGTACACTTCTTAAAAAATAATTTTTTTCTTAAAAATTTTCATTTTCTGAATCAAAAATATTATCCAACAACAATTAAATTAGTTTATTTTTTCATATATTATATGCATGTAACGGCATATTAGGTAAAACAACGTTGTCCGTGCATTTCATTAGGTATTAAATAATGCCAGCATGAATTTGATATATTTTGGAATGATTAACTTATATATATTTTGAATGTAACTTATTTATACAAAATACTTATATTATATTCATTTTTTTTGTCCAGACGCAAAAAAAAATGTGTTCGTTATATGGAGGCAATGAATGGAAATGGTCCTATGGAAGACGGCAGCGGTCATGAAGATCATGGAAGCCAATTGAGTGACGACGACGATGATGATGATGATGATAACCCACTTGGTGAAAGCTGTGGAAGCGCCGATGAAAACAACAAAATTTTAGATGACGACGCAGAATCTTTAAACCAATCCTTGTCCAGCCCAGGTTGTCTTAGCAGTTTACAAAGTCCATCGACGAGAACGAGTCTAGCCAGCCCTCAAATTGTTAATATAAATACTATTGCTCCGGCTGTATTTTCTTGCGTCAGTGCGGAGCAGTCATCTAATCTGAGAACTAAATCAGTTTCCATATCAGGATCGAGTAGTGGGTCAACATGCAGCATAAGCACCACTCCGAATACCTCAAGTACAGTCTCGCCAGTAACAGGTACAACGGGACCTTCTCCGATTTCAGCTAATGAACGCGCTATGATGCTAGGAAATCGGTTTAGCCACTTAGGAATGGGATTGAGCCCTCCTGTAATTAATACAACTAACAATCAAACAGAACCATTTTATCACACTCACCCTACAGTAATTAATAACACATTCCCTACGTTGCCGAAAATTATTAATAGTAATTGCTTGAATTCTGGGTTAGTACCTAAAGCTCCGGTATCAAATATTTTGCGAAGCCCAATTGGGGCAAATCCAAGAGATATAAACAATCCCCTTAGCATTAATCAATTAACTAAGAGACGTGAAAATAAAAATTTTGAAATTATTAAAACTATTGATTCGGAGGCAAGTGTGGCTCAAGCCGCAAATTCTCTTATTCATCATGTATCCACTAATAACTATCATGTGAACCACACTCTCTTAAGTAGCAATTTAAATCAAAACTTTCAGAAGCAAATTGGTAGCTCTGTTGGAACATCAAAAAATATTACACCCTCAATGATTTGTGAAACTATTGACAATGGCGAATGTAAAAAAAAAACGGACGGAAAAGCTAATGTTTCGATAACACCTAGCGCCGGCGCTACCGAAACTGGAGTTATAAGCGTATCATAGGAGTATTTTTATAAGATAATGGAGTTGATTAACTTTGAATAAAAATACACTCATACATACATGAACCAACGTGCAATAAAAATTCTGAGCATTCAATCGCCATCCCTTGAAACAAGTGGCCATAAATGTGCCAAATTTTAAACATATTTATTTTTTATCATTCGCATTCAAACATATGTGTTGGCTTAAATTTTATTTTTGTTCGTTCGAGACAACGAAACAAATTAATGTTACTAGATCCATAAACGACAATTATATAACTATATAAAAAGAAAATGATTTTATATATTCACTAAGTTAAATTCATTATTTTATTCATTTCATTTTTTTTTTTTAATTTTTTTAACTGTAAATCACATAAGAAGCATTGTTATATATTGCTTTTGGAATTTTTTCTCGAAAACAACACTCGTACACTTCCAAATTATTTTTTTTTTCCAATTTTAAAGAATCTTTTTATTGCCACACCGCTGAAAAATTTATAACTGGGTGTTCTGATCAAAAAGTGCAGTTCAGTTATATAAAACATTTTTATACATGAAATAAGTTCCTTAACGACAAGGCCATTTAAAATCCGTGTGTATGTATATATTAGGTTTATTTCATTTTTGCATTCCTATTTAATAACACTATAAAGTCGTATTTGTAATGGAAAATAATTAAAAAAATTTTGAAAGATCGAAATTAAGGAAATTTTGTTATACCCTTGCGGAGGGTATTATTATTTTGGTCAAAAGTGTGCAACGCAGTTAGGAAACATCTCCGACCATATATATATCCATGTATGTCCGTCTGTCTGCCCGCCAACTAATCTCTTAGTTGCAAAGATATCGACTTCAATTTAGGCACAAAACCTTATTTTCTTTGGCCCCAGAATATATATCGGAACGGCACGATAAGTCGACTTTATCCAATAGCTGTCATACAACTACTTGATCGGAAAGGCCAAAACTTTGGTATATTTTAATGCAAAGGGTTGGGACATCTAATCCGATTTGCCAAATCTCATAAGGATCGGCCGGCTATGCATGGTAATGCAGATACGTAGGCAATGCAGAAGCGTAGGACGACAAACCTTTTTCGAAATGTACTAATTCGGACAGGCTCGGACATCTTAATGCAATATTTGCAATATACGTATTTATATCCCAAAAAATATATTAAAACATAAAATTCCAATTAACTTGAAGGGTATACCTAACTCGGATCCTCCCAAAGCTAGCTTTTTTCATTCTTGTTAGTTATTTCTTTGCTTTTATGAGCATTTTATTTTTTTTGGTCAAATTAAAAAATATTTAAAATAGTTAAAAAAGATAAAGATAAATTTTTCGACTATATTTTAGAGCTCACATCAAAAGAAAAAAATAGTAAAGGTTGTCTTGTTTAAATAAATTTTTCTAATGTATCTATTATTCGTATTTCTTTTTCCTTTATTTCTCGGATTAAATGTACCAGAAGTGGTAGAATTTGTATAACCTTGCAGAGTGTACTATAATTTTGTTCAAATGTATGCAACGCAGTAAAGGAGACATCTCCGACCCTATAAAGACCCATTTCATAAGGATTCACCGACTATACCCTATAGCTGCCATAAACCTGAATGACCGGAAATTACCAAACTTTCGTGTTTTTGAAGATAGAAAGTTGGAACTCTATACAGATTTTTTTGTTGTCCGGTTGATCCGACTTACCCAATTTCATAACGATCGGCCGAATATATCATATAGCGGCCATATAACTGAACGATCGGAAATTGTATTTTGTAGAAATACCAACTTTGGTATTTTTAAAGATAGAAGCTTGGGACTTTTTTTTTTTTAGATATTTTATTGTAATTAATTGGTTTTATTATGATATTCATAAGGATCCTCATAAGGATCGGACAACAATATCCGATGTTTGCGATATATATCCGGTTGTAACTGCAAGGGTTTATCTTATAGTTAGCTTTCCATTCTTGTTTTTATTGTAATAAATTGGTTATTTTATGATATTCCCATAATGGTTGGCCAACTATATCCGACTTTTCCGATATATATCCGGTTTTAACTGCCAGGGTTTATTTTTTTTTATTCGTTTTCAACTTTTATACATGCGGGATTTATATAGCTAAGAAACATAGAAACAAGAAGTACATACGTATTTGTAAAAATTTTTTGTAATTGTGGTGTTTTTCGTTCAGTAATAATCCGAAGAATATCAACAAGTGAAAATTTAAGACATTTTAAAAATTTTAACCGTCATTGTTTTTTTAGTACTTTTTGGTCAGAAGATCAGAACACATGTAGGTATGGATGACTGGTATTTGTGTATATTTAAGTTAATTTTCAATGGAAATCTTGCCAACATCAACATAGGTTTGAAACAACATTTTAACTTTTAAGAAAGAAAAAATCTTGAAAACGATTAAGCATTTTAATTTTGTAAATAGAAAACATGGTTAAAAAGAAGGTATTTATAATGCTTACGAATTTATTCACCATAAGACCTGATAGCGACTATTTTATTAAGAGAAAAGTGCTGATTAAAAAATACAGACAAAGTTAAACTCGCTGGTTGGTAATGTTTTTAATATTAAATACACTATGATTGTACGTATTTCTATACTAGTCTTCATTCAGTTATTAAATTAATTACATTAATATGATTTACATGGTCAAATTTTCTCGCATATCGTATAAAGTGCTAAGCACTTGAATATGGTATTATACAATAGGGATTAAAACAAATTTCATATATGTATAAAAATAATTAGTTTTAGTCAAATCGTAAATGTTTATATTCTAAATTCATTTGTTTTGATTCCAATAAAAGCCCTCACAGTCGCAAATTTAGGTTTTTAAATGAGACTGTCTCTGTTTTCGGTGGGATAATGCATATAAATATAGATTTCTTCAGCTGAATAAATTAATACGAAATATACTAGAGCCTTATACAAATCTATAGATTTATTGCTAAAATGAAAATATATATACAGCTTATTTGTTAATATTCCTAGCTAAATTTTAGAATAGCGTGGCTTTGAAAAATATAATTCAATGAAAAGATTTGAATAGTAACGAACGTACAACTTTGAATCTTTTTGTTTGAACGCTATACTCGGGATAGATTGCGATATATTTTAAAATTAATAAATCCATGTTTATAATGAGTCTAAAAGTGATGCTTAATTTTTTCTATTTTACATATACATACCAAATATATTTTATTGTCATTTTCAAGTTTTCATTGAAATTATTATAAAATATCTGAATTTACATTGTGATCAAACACAATTTAATTATTTCGATAAATTGCCGAAGTCTGCTATGCCTAACAGCGAAACAAGAATATAAACCAAATAAGCTTACAAACATCGAAATATATGTAGCTGTGATAATAAAACTACCGATTTATGTAGGGCTCTAGTCAGGTATTTTTATGTGGATGCATGTATATATGTAACGATAGTTTATGTAAGAGAATAATATGACAAAAAATCTGTGTTAGTAAAGAGGTCAAAATATTAATCGAGAATATAGGATTTAATTAAGGTATTTTATATATATTCTGAACAATGTGTAAAGCCATTGCCAATATAAAAGACTGTTTTACACATATTATATATGTTTGACTTTAATAAAAATTAACAACTGTATAGAATTGTATTAGACTTTAAAGCCTACGAGATTCATACGATTTAAATATTTGCATACTCTCTATAAATAATAAAATGAAAAATAAAAAATTTCTGACATTACGTAATTTAAAAGTGTATATACATATCAGTTACATAAAAGTATCATAGTCAAATAAAAATTACTATAAATAAATGTAAATTTTCAAATTTACAGTTTATCATTTATTTTTTAAATGATTTAGGCTTTTAATTAAAATTGACTTCCATTTTTGTGGTTGACAAAAATATGTATTAGTAAAACAGTTTGCAATATTTTTATTTTAATAAAAGAAAATCAAAAACAAAATATCAATATCAAAACAAAATTAATGCAACTTAAATTTCATAATAAAGTTTTATCTATATTAAGTATCAGAAGAATAATAATTTATTAGCGAATTTTTTTTGTTATTAAATACCTCAATTGAAAAATTGTTCACGTGTCCGTAAAATGGCTTCATTTACTTTTTTGCCTGATTTGAAATTAACAAAAGTTAAAAAAAAAACGTACATATATTGTAAAAAAAAAACGTACAATATATATATGGGTCTTAAAAACGACACAATTTTATTTATAACGATTGATTGACTGATTGGTTTTTAGCCTTTGTGCATTACAAAACTTAGTGCATTAGTTTAGATAACTTAAGTAGCATATGTTTAGGGTAATAAGATGTCTCAATAAAAATAAATATAATACGAGCTAATAAAATTACCATTTAAGATAGTTAATAAAGTAATGTACGAAATGTAAACCTAAAATAATGTACTCTAATAAACTGAAGCAATGTTGAGTCTATTCTAGTGATATATATCCCTATTTTCCCTTTTTCGGAACACTGAACAAATGAATGATCTATCGACTGCTTCGAATTGAAAAAATTATACGCCGTTTTCCTAGGCCTAATGGGCTTCTCGTTTGCTGTGGTGCTCAGTATGCTTCAGGCTCGGCCTGTGGTTAAACCGGTTAAAAATTGAGGCTAAACCCGTTCTTCGCCGAAAAAGTAAAGTTATATCCGGGTTCCTTCGTTCCGATCCGCCTACGCCGTATTTCCTTGTCTCCGCTATTTACGGGTACAATTCATTATGCGCCTTTTCCAGACGCCTGTTTTTCTTGAAAATAGTTTTTCTTGAAAATACAAAGTCAGCTTACTTTTTGAACACACCTCGTATAAGTCGGAAATAAAGGGATCGGACGACTATACCCCGTTGCAATAAAACTGACTCATCGGAAATGGCATACCTTTGGTGTTTGTAGAGTGAGTTGGGATTTGTCTATTGATTCTATTTTTCCCAAATATCTAATTTTATAAGGATGGGCCGTCTATATTCTATTGCTGCCATATTACTGATGGTTCGGAAATGACACAACATTAGTAGTTTCACCAATTGATTTTATTATGAAATTCTCATAGGTTCGGCCAACTATATCTGATATTTGTTAAGTATAATTATACGATCTTAACTGCAAGCAAGCAATAAAGGTTTATGTCAACTATTGTACAATCCAGCACAAACAATCTACTTTTGTTCCACTTTCGTTTGGTTTTACTTTCGCTATTTTAGTTTAAAATGTGTTATTATTTAGCGCTCCAAAAAGCCAACGTTTGTGAACAACAAACAGCTGACTTCCAGAGCTACCAAATTTCGCAGGATAAAATTTTTTTTTTCGTATCTTTAT